TGTCTTCTGCTTCTGTCATTCAACTAGAGCTGTTCTTATCAAGGACATTTTTTCTCTTCTCATCTTGATGCATCAGTAAGTTGACCACTCTCTCCTGTTTATTCTGCCTGGTTTTTCTCCTTTTTTTTTCTTTGATAATCTCTTCTCTACTCATCCTCTGAATTGATGTTTCTGTAAATTAGTCCTAGATTCTCTTTTGTTTCCCTGTACCCTCTCCCCAAGTGATCTCATTCTTTACCATGCTGTTAAATACCATCTGTATATAGGTGACTTTCAAATTTATAGCTCTAATCCAAATGTTTCCTCTGATTTCCTAACTAGTATGTTCAGCTCTGTACCTGACATTTCTATTTAGATGTTTTACAGACCTCTCAGACTTAACATATCCCAAATGGAACTCTTGGCTCTCCCCGCAAACTTGCTAGTCTTTCCTATCATCAAATGGTAATATTCTGCCTTTTGCTCCTTAATTGACAGTCCATCTGCAAGCCTATTATTCATACCTGCTAGTTATAACTTGAACTACCCACCTGTCTCCATCTCTACTTTCCCTACATGAGTTAAACCACCATCCAGTCTCACCTGTACTACTGCAGCAGCCTCCTGATTTTCTCTGCTCTTACTTCTGCCTTTTTCCAAACTGTCCTCTGTGTAAGAGATCAAATTTTTGAAACTATAAACCAGACTGTTTTTCTCTTGATTAAAACCATTTGATGGCTTTCCATTGCCTTTGCAAAAAAAAAAAAAAAAAATCCTATTACCGTAACCTGTGGGGCTCTCTGCATGATCTGGCGCTTGCTTTATCTAGCACTTCCATATGGTGCCATTTTCCTCTTTATCTGTTTCCTTTGCTTTAGCTGTACTGGTGTCCTTTTAGTTCCTTGAACATGCCTAGCTCTTTCAGCCCCCAGAATCTTTGCACAGCTCTTTTCTCTGCCTGAAATACCCAATTCTCTGCTCCTTGAGTGGCTATTCCATCTCATCCTTTCGGTCAATATTGTTGCCATCTCTGAGAAGCTGCCTCTGACCACATTATCTCAGTAGGGCCGTTCCTTCTCTTCCATTTTCTTCTATTTTTGTTCCTTTCTTGGTTTTATAATAACACTATTACAAGCCATATGTTTTATGGTATACTTGTTTTATTCCTCTCCAAGTAGAAAGTAAGTTCTACAAGGGCAGGGGCCCTGTCTGTATTGTTCAATGTTGTATATACAGCACTCATTACAGGGCACAGTGTAGTTGTACCTGAGTTTACAAAATGGACAGCTAAACTTAAAGTGAGGCTGACATGTAAAATCTTATTTCTTACCAGAAGACTGTTATCAAACTGTCCAACCACATGCTTCATACCATTCTTACACTGTACCTGTAAACAACTTCAAGATGAAGTAAAATGCTGCTGGAGAAGCCTTGATAGGCAGTTAAAAGGCAGCATGAAGGTTAAAGGCTGTGGTTTCACTGGTCATTGCTTTTCTCCTGTTTTCCATATTCACCCAGATATGGGAAGCACAGCTAAGGGTGGTCTTGGCCCTGGTCTTCTTGATTCAGTTCTGGGGATACTCAAATTTGATTTCCCTAGCTTAGTCAGAAGTAGTATATTCCATTTGCTGAAACAACTATCTGAATTCCTCACATACCTTAGTTCCTTAAACTGAGTTGGAAGATTCTGAGGGAGTGTTTTCATTGTGCTTAGTGCAGAGTGGCAGAATGGAAAGGACACTGAACCAGAAGTTGGCTTGGATTTTTGTCCTCGTTCTGATTAGTTTGGAAAACAAACAAAACCCTAAGCCTCAGTTTTGCCATCTGTAAAACAGGATAATTGGGTGAGATGGTTTCTAAGTTTCCTTCCAGCTTTAATCGTTGTGAAATCTCCGGTTCCTGTAGAAATTATGGATGCTCATACTGGAGGTAAACACAGAAACTTCAGCCTTTAAGGAAGCAGACCCTCTCCATAAAGTCGTTTTTATGGAGTAATAGTGAACACTCCCATGGATACCTCAGCAAGTAGAGAGAGAGGAAATGATAAATTCCTTGGAGATTCAGAACCCTTCATATTAACCTCTGTTTGACTGCCATTGCCAGACTTCTAGTTTATTGGAAATTGTCGACGGAAAAAATATTTTAGAGTCTACTGGTTTGGGGCTTTTGATGACTTTTGTCTTACAGGAATTAAAAAGGTGAACCAACTGAGGATAATAAGTATCTCCTTCTAAACTGTGGCACCCCAAAAAGAATCTTTTTCCCTTTAATTCAAACATGAGTCTCTTGGTCACCCAGAGGCCTACACTTTACTGCAAAAATGCAACAGACAAGAGAGAAAAGCAGACTTACTTTTCCACTCATAAGTATTATAAATCTGCGTCAATCAGGAAGATTCTAAGCAAGTGCATGATTTTAATGTGAATTTTAGTTTTCATTTAGTTAGTAACAGCTTGCATCCCTTTTATTAATTGTTCCTACTATGGACTGGCCTTTATACTAAATGCTCATCCCACATGCTCCCAAAATATCCTTTGGGTTAGGTGGTAGTTCTCATTGTTATTTCAGGTGAAGAAATGGAGGTGCATAGAGGTTTTAAGTAACTTGCTAAATTAAGGCCCAGCTAGCAAGTGATGGAGTTGGAATGTGAACTAAGTAAATGAGTAATGAATCCTTCTTTGAGCCTACAGTGCAGCTAAACACATTTTCAGTATTTTTAATGGTAGTGGAAAGATAGTAGGAAATTAATGATACCTGATTCACCAGTCAAGTTGTCTTCATTCTGTGTCCTTTTCATAGAGATCTTGGGTATTTTATTTTCATCCAGTCTTATTGATACCCTTCCCTTCTAGGACGCTACTCAGAGAGTATTCATTTTACATAGTCTCAAACAGTAGAAGTGAACTCAAACAGTGGGTTAAAATAATGAACAGTCATATTTTCTATGATCACATAATTGTATTTTTACAAAAGCATGACCTTATTTGTAGCTTAGAATCATACAGACCTGTTGCTTTAAATATTTTAATAAAACAGGTTTTCCCCCTCCCCCACTGAGGCCCACTTTTCTCCCCAATCATTTTAATTATGTGAGCTAGAATCCTGTTTCTCACACATCTTCAGTTCTCAACCTTGTTAAAATTAATCATATAATCCCCTTTAAAACATAGTATTAAATCACCATAGTAACACAGTATCCAAGCTTTATAGATAAAACATAACAGCCATAAGAAGGTAGCGTTTGGTGTCCCCTTGACAGCTCTATAACTTTTATAGAAATGTGTTCCTTCTCTTGGCTGTGTAAGGTGGAGGGATAGCATTACTTACACCTGCTTTATTACCATGTTGCTTTTAAATTGCCACCTTGTTTTTGTTCACCTTCCTAGTTAAATAAGGAGAGTGAAACTCTTTTCTTTATGAATTATTTTTTCCTACTTTCTAACCACTCTCCAAGGGATGGAATTGTTTCCTTAAATGTGACCAGGCAGGGTCCATTGACCTTTGTACTGGGATGCCTTGAAAATCCCTTTAATTTTAATTTCCTTATGTGGCTTGTATAAGGGAGTTTTAGAAAGAAAGGTTACCCTGTATTTGAAAACTTAATTCATATTCTATCCAAAGACTCAATAGGAATTCTTCCTTTGGAACAGACCTGGTAAACCATGATTTTTCACTTCCAATGATAATTTATAAAGTAAATTATACATTTGTGGTAGCATCGATTTGAATATTTTTATCAATATGAATATACTTTGTAAAATACAATATGAGTTGATGAGTTCCTTTGAATAATGTCAAATTCTGAAATATTGTTAGTATAGATTTATGTATTAGAATTTGGAATGTTTAAGTTGTTAAAAAGGAATTGAATCCATGCTAATTGGTAAATTGATTTTTGGATTTTTAAACATTTTGTAACTTAAAAAACGTTTATAGATTAATCTGATTAGTACTATGCTTTTTAATTTTTTTAAAAATAGTTATTTTCTATTTTATGTTGCTTTTACATGTGGCTTATTTTTTAATTGATGCAGGAATTTTTTTTCCCTGTCTTTCTTTACAACATTGTCTCCATTCTTAGAAAGCACCTTGCAATGTTAGACTTCTTGGTATTTCTCTGTCCTCTAGAATATGAAATACATTCCTTCTAAATCCAGAAATTATGAGAGATAACAGAAATTTAGGAAAATAACACTCAACCTTGTCCTTTTTTCTTTCCAGTTTGAATTCTAGCTCCTTCCCTTAGTAGCTCTGTGAACTTGATTCAGTTACCTACCTATTTTGTCCTTTGGTTTCCTTTTCTGTAACATGGAAATATCATCTAAATTCCAGAGTTGCTGTGAGAGTAAACGAGATGGTATACATCAGGTGTCTAACTTTGTGGCTGGCAAATGGTAGACACTTAAATTTTGCTGTTGCAATCACTGTTATTTTCAGAACTAGAGGAGTTATCAGGTGAGCATTACTAACAGCAAACTCTAGGAGTGACCTTTGGAATCAGAGCCAGGTTTAAAATCCCGCTTTTTGCTACTTACCAGCTGAGACCTTAGGCAATGCCTCTCTAGACTATTTCTTCATCTATAAAATGAGGTTAATAGAATGTACCTTTCAGGATGGGCTGATTAACAGAGTTACCTCAGGGCCTGAACTCAATAAGGGGAAGGTCTGATAGCTCTGATGATTTTGGCTTCTGAGGTGGTCACTAGAACAGGCTGCTGGCTGTCTTTTTTTTTTTTTTTTTTTTTTTCCAACAAGGTCTGATAGCTCTGATGATTTGGGCTTCTGAGGTGGTCACTAGAACAGGCTGCTGGCTGGCTTTTTTTTTTTTTTTTTTTTTTTTTTTTTTTTTTTTCCAACTAGCTCACAGTCTGTTTCCTTGAAGTGTGTAAATTTTAAGTTCATTTATAAAGAATTCCACAGAGAGAGGAAATGTTACAGGTTCAACGACTTGTCATGATTAGATACTTTATCAAGAAACTTACTGCACATTCATTTTTCCCTTTGTTCTGTCTTGGCCACAGCCTCACAGTTAGCCAAGTTGGCCAGAACTTCACATTCGTGCTCACTGACATTGACAGCAAACAGAGATTCGGGTTTTGCCGCTTATCTTCAGGAGCGAAGAGTTGCTTCTGTATCTTAAGGTAAGGGAGAATGGCTTTGGCTATTGGCTCATTCTGTGAAACAATATCAGCTTCTGTGTTGTTCTTCTGTAATTAAATTTTCCAGCTGTTCTTTTTATTTTCCTATCTGTCTCCCCCAAGTCACTGCACTTGGGGAGAAGGACTTCACAGTGTTGTTCTTGCACTTTACGTTCCGCAGATAATTGCATTTATTTATTTGTATCACATCCCCTGGGTGGGAAAGGGACCATTGCTTCTGTGTAGTATGTGGAAGCTGGAGAGTCAGCATGGCTTCGGTTCCTCCTGCTGTTATCTGGAGCTGTCAGAAATTAGCCTGTTAGGCTTTCCCTTGGACATTTTGTGTATGTAAGATTATTAATAAAGTATGTGTCTGTAGCTCAGGATGTCTTACAGACTCAGATTGTGTCCTCCTCAAAGTTATACCCTGGTCCCCTTTGGGTCAGTGTGTGAATAACTTTTTCCAACTCGGGTACCTCTGTACAGGTTTGAAAAAAGTGCAGAATCCTGTAAGATCTTAAGAATCTTAGGGTCCTCTAAAATTCCCTTCATACAGCAGAGCCACGCTTGCTTAATGCTCTGTTTCTTCCTGCTAGAGGGGTAAAGCATGTTCTGGGGTGGGAGGATGTGTGGAAATCCGATTTTGGAGCTGCTGGCTCTGTGGGCTCCTGCTGGGCGCCTCCTGAGGGGGAAGTAAAGGCATCCCACACACTCTCCTCTCCATCTGCCTCAGTTAAGTAGGTGTCAGAGGGGCCTGCCTCCTGTCTCTCTCTGCTCATGTGAAGCAGCCTGGGGCAGGGCAGCAGGGAGGTGCCCTTGACAAAACCCGGGCCCCCAGTCTTGAGCTTGGGCATAAAAGGCCAGACCCTCTATGGATTCCAGAAAGGGTAGTTCTCTGCTGCACTTAGTCTTTGCACTTTCTTCTTCTTCTCACCAGGAAAAGACCCCCTCCCCCTCCATAGTCCACCAAACCCACACACCCTCACACCATAGAGGGAGAGGGGGCTGACTTTTAAAGTTTCTTTGCTCACTGTCAATCTGGACAGCTACAAGTTTGCGTTTCTCTACATTAATCTTATTATCATTATTGTTTTTAATCAGTAAAGTCAATGATCTTCTGTACCAAGGCATAGCATTTGTAATGTAGGCACTAGAGGACAACTGCTGGAGAGACCTTAGGAAGGAGGTACCACCTGGCTGCTATGGGAGATTAAACGTGTGCAGCTGCTCTAAAGCACACCTCAGGAGCCCAGGCCCAAGGATTACCTGCCCAGAGTATTAGACTTTGATGTAAATGATTATTTACTTTTTGACTTAATAATGTGGTCTTTTTTTTTCTTTTTAAAGAAAATTTTCTCTTCCATTTTTGTCTTTTATATATCTGCCTTGGCCAGGACATTGCATATTTATATATTCATATGAAGGAGGTGAGGGATTAAACCAAGTTCTTGAAGTTTTACACAAAGGTTTTTCCCATATATTTTGGGTTACAATGTTTCTTTCTTCCAAGCTGTGTGTGTGTGTGTGTGTGTGTGTGTGTGTGTGTGTGTGTGCGTACGTACTCTAAACTGGCACTGTCCCACTCACTAACCTGTTTTTTTTCTTTTTAAATGTAGATTAAAAATTGCTCTCCTCTTATTCTGGTGTTTAACTTTGTGTGCCTATATGTAGGGTCATGGATTTTGTTTTGCTAGAAGCCAGTTGAACAGCCTTCATACGTTCTTCATTTGGAATGAAAAATACCAGCCATTGGTGTGTTTTCTATCTGTTATACTAGCTTGGAACAATGGAGAAAAATTTGGTGGGTTAATTCATTTGTTTCTCAGCCCTTAATTGAATGCTTACTATTAGCTAGTCTCTGCCCTTGAGAAGTTCCCAGAATAGCTGGGGAGATGGATGATCACACTACAGTATGCTATATATAATACATAGAATGATCCCAGGGCATACTGTTTTCTTACTATTGATTTTCTAGTGCCAGAGGATGGTGATTGTGGTTAAAAATAAAGAGTCCTATATGAATTCTGGAATGTACATTTTATGAGTATTTAACATAAGGGGGGAAAAGCCCTCTTTATCTTATCCAGCTTGTGTATATATGAAGGGCACACAAAGTGGCACTTCCCTGTGTTTGGTTTGGGACCATTAACAGGTTGAGACTAACATATAAATGGAAGAGTTTACTGTGAAACGTGGACCACTGGTTGACAGCATGTCCAGGAGGAAGTGGAGAGGTCTGCCAAGAGAATGGGGCATAATTTGGGTTTGGATTAGATTATTATCATTGTCCTCTTTTTGTGCTTAGTCTCCTTGCTTTCGTCAGATACTTTTTCTTTATTTAACCTGTGCCTTGATGTCCCGTCACCCTTCGCACTGTGCTCAGGGCTACCTGCTCAGAAGCCACCTGTGTTTTTGCTTTCCATTCCTTCTTGTGTAGCTCCCAGTAATGGCGTCTATGCAGACATAGCTTCTGCTGTTCGAGAATTTAGTTTCTTTCTTTTTTTTTTTTTTTTGTCTTTTTTCCTGTCCGGCAACGGATCGCAACCCTCAGTGTCGTGCCTGTACTGGACCGGGACCGGCAACGGGATCGTTGCGCCCGCACCTCGCTCAGCCAGTGAGCGGGAACCGGTCTGTATGTGGGATCCAAACCCTCGGCGGGAGCGCCACCTCGCTCCCAAGTGGCGCACTGTAGCAGTGCACCACCGGGCCGGCCCCCAGAATTTAGTTTCTTAGGGTCATTTGCTCTCTGCCTGATCTCTCAAGCTTACATACTTCCTGGCCCATATAAGCCACTGTACTTTCTTTGCCTTCACACATCTACTCGTCCTCCCAGATTCAGCATAAGTACTTCCTCAGAGTAGACTTCCCAAGGCAGAGGTAATCATTCCCTCCCCTGGGCACACTCGGCATGCTCTGCATACTTTCGTTATACATTCATAGCCTTGATCTTCCTGTGCCTTTCTCCTATTGGACAGTCAACTCTTTAGGGGTTAAGACTATGTCTTAATCAACTATGTATCTCCAGCACTTAGTGTAGTGCTTGACCAAAACTTGTATGCATGGTATCCAGAGAAAGGGAGATGCATCAAGAATGGACGGACAGGGCACTGAAGGCTCTGAATGAGAGGACGGGCTTCATGGGATATTAGTTCAAAGAGGAAATAGGTAGTACAGTTATTTGCAGAAGCATGGTTCATATTATCAGACTCATTTCATACTAGTTGTAACAGGTGCACCTTTGAATCTCACAGTGGAGGTCCAATGTCGAGTAATGGGCATTATGCCCATTCAAGACTGGGCCATCTGTATTACAAAATTTAAACTTAATTTCACAATGAAATGTTCTTAGATGTCCTTTATACAATATAACTTGCTTATTAGGTTCATTTTTATTTTCTGTCCATTCCCACTAGAATGTAAGCTCCATGAAAGTTGGAAATTTTTTTTCTGTTTTCACAAATACATTCAAAGTTTATTGAAGAATATCAGGTGAATAGTAGGCAGTTAGTAATACTTGTTTTGTGAAAGAATGAATCCTTGGGAAATAAGCCCATATTTATTAAAGCAAATTTTTTTTAGTTGGTTTGAACTCTTGTCACCACCTAATCTTGACAGAAATGTAGTTGTACTAGAGTATAAACAAGTACCATTTACACAAATACCACTATAAAGTCAAATGCATTATTTCCTCCCACAGTTGACTGGTTCCTACTATTAAAGGATTTTACTTCTTGAGATTCACCATAATATTAAATTAGTTGCTGGATGGTAGTTAATACTAAACTAAAAGCACCAGCTACCAGAACAATAGTTATGGGTAAGTTAGTTGTTATTTATTACAAACCCAGGAATATGAGAGGAGTTTAGCATTTTCAGATTGTGCCATCTGAGTCTGGGGTGGTATATGCATTTACTTCTGAAATCTTTTAGTATTATAAAACAAAGTGACCTAGAACTGAAATTTTTCATGACTTCTGATTTGCCCAAATGGCACATACCCCATTAAGGCCAAAACTGAAATGAAATATGCTATTTCTAGCCAACTTCTGGTTTTGGATCAACAGAAGGAGCTCAGGAGTTCTAAGCCATAAATTTGTTGTTTGGGGGTTATAGAAGATAAGTTATACAATAATTAAATTTCTTTAGTCTTTATAAAGGAACTTTACAGATATTCTCCTTTATTTATAGGGATCTTATTTGAGCTCTCAAGAAAGCATAAGCAACTATTCTTGCACCCACATAAAACTGTTTGGAACCTATTATGCATTTTGTGAAGAAACAACTTTTTTTAATCTAGATATTTTCTAAATTTAATGTTTTAAATTCTTATTCAGTTAAAAAGTATTTGAGTACCTAGTATATACCTGGAATAAGCAATACATAACACATAGTGACCTTTATTTACCTAGAGGCCCCTTAAAATAGACACAGAGATGTAGCCCCAGCTCCCCATCTGAGAGCCTTTCAATGTGTCATGTTCATCCAAGATTTTGATGAGCTGAACTTTCTGAACTTGGTATTACAAAATGAAAATGATAAGCCCTTTTTGTCATTTACCAAATATAAAACTGAATACACTTCTAGATCTGCTGTTCCCAGGCCACCCCCGATTCTGATATCCATCTCCCATTTCCCTTCTGCTACCCTTACTGTCTTTGAAACTGCTCAATCTTTGGGAAGGGAATATGTAAACAAGTAATTTAAATATCATATGATAAGTGTTATTTAAAGAAATATATATATGCAAGATTCTTTGGCATCACAGATTAGGCAGTGCCCATCTCTAACGTGGAGAATCAGGGAAAGTGTTGCTGATGGGTTCCAGTTACAGAATCAGAGGGGGCTTGCTTGGAGGAGAATAGGAGAAAAGCTCTCTCTATTCAGTATGAACTGGTGTGCAAAGGCCCTGAGAAATGACAGGTATAGCAAGATGAAAGAAGGCTGATGAGAGGGTAGTAGCAAGAGGTGATGCTTCAGAAATCTTGGGGCCAGATTGTTGAAAG